TATTTAATTTATTAAATATTATATAGACAAACCCATATTATATCCGACAACAATCGCTAGGTACAGCTGACATCCGTGAGCTAAAGAAAACAGTACACACGTGTTATGATATCAACTAGAAGATGCACGTAGCTACGAGAGTCTCAAAATTTTCAAAACAAAGTAGTATGAAAAAATAATGGGTCAAAATCAATAGACATAGAAATTTTAACTCGGCTTATAACTCAAAATTTATTTAGGATGTATGAGTAAAATCGTAGGAAAAGAAGCTTTGCACGTAGACATGTACTATAGTTTCCAAAAGCTCTAGACTACAATAGTTCCTAAAGCTCTAAACTCCTAGAGAAATGTTCTTTTTCTATGGTTTTTCATAAAACCCCGTAGGACACTTCTTCTTTCTCATTGAATTTTTTCTTAGAAATCTTTACCTATCATTTTTTTAGTTTTCCTAGGATTTTAGATTTTAAACTCTACTGGGGAAACCGTCAAATTCCAATAGTGAAATACCGTTGGGTCGAATTCGCTATCAGTTAGTCGGACTGGCCCACTGCTGTCTAGGTAGCCGGCTATGGTCTCAGTGGGCCAATGTGCTCGTCAACCTCACTTTAATCAAGGCAACTGTCATTCTCATGTTCCACTAAAAAAAAACTGTCATTCTCATGTTCCAATGTGAGATAGCTGTGATCTAGAAATTTTCTGAGCTGAATGTATCCATCAACCATAAAAATAATTCTCATTTGGGAGCTATTACATTCCTACTCATACAACATATGTTGATAGAGAATTTACTTGGACTTATAGATAGAAATATTTAAAAAAACATAGTTAAATTAAAGAAATTTAAGTTAAACGGAGTACCAACCAAAAACTCGAATAAAATAGGACACGGGCACAGCCATGACAGTTGCGTGTGCTTGGCTCTAGATAATTATCAGATGGTGATTAGCAAAAAAAAAAAATTATCAGATGGTGGTTGATTAGGTCAATGCCCATGAGTTGCAACGGAACAAAAACATTCCACGAAGTATGAATGTGTGTATTGTATTGCTACCTAAAAATTGATATTTCGAGTGTGACGATGTTCGGAACATCAATATTACATGTCTCATGTCCTTTTTTGTATTCCCTGGCTTCATCAATTTATGCTTGTGATTTTGATGCGTCTACTTCACTTTTTCTAAAACAAATACACAATATGTAGTTTACGTAAAACATTGTTAATCTCAAAGCAGTCATGTCAACATATACATCGATGGTAACCTTTTCTTGTTAAGTTTGTCAGCAGCGGCGGAATGGAGGACGTTAAGCCGCAACCGGTCGCGCTTTTCCTCCCTAACTAAAAGCTCTAGTTTGGTTTTGGTGAATTGATGAAACCCTAAGTGCTAACCTAGTTTATCAAAGTGATTATAAGATAAGTAGCACTACACCAAGTGGTGAAGCAAATGAAGATCATGACTTAATGATGGTGATGCCATGGTGATGATCGAGTGCTTGAACTTAGAAAAGAAGAAAGAGAAAAACAAAAAGCTCAAGGCAAAGATGAAATTGATAGGAGCTTTTCGGTTTAGTGATCGAGACACTTAGAGAGTGTGATCACATTTAGGATCGACAGCCGTACTATTAAAAGGGGTGAAACTCGTATCGAAATACCGTTATCAAAGTGTCACTAGATGCTCTAACTCATTGCATATGCATTTAGGATCTAGTGGAGTGCTAACACTCTTGAAAACATTTGTGAAAATATGCTAACACATATGCACAAGGTGATACACTTGGTGGTTGGCACATTTGAGCAAGGGTAAAAAAGATAGAGTTAAAAAGAAGTTAGTCGCGCTGGTCACAGAGTGACCGGACACGTCCGGTGTGCCTACCGGACGTGTCCGGTATTTTATCCAGACTTCGGGTAGTCAGACTAGAGTGACCGGACACGTCCGGTGTGGATACCGGACGCGTCCGATATTTGGACCCGAGGTGAAGCGACTAAGTGAAAGTGACCGGACTCTGGCTCAGTGGAGTAACCGGACGCTGACGAGTTACTGTTCAGTGTCAGGTCAATGTGATATAGCCCGAAGCAGGATTGCTGACAGCGACCTGACGCGTCCGGTGTGAACCAGCGAGTCTCGGGTTTTAGCGCTATAATTGATCGGACGCTGGGAGCGTCCGGTCGGCCCAGAGCGGCTCTGGGAGCTCTCTAGACTCGACCGGACGCTGCGTCTCCTGCGTCCGGTCCGGTGTGACCGGCGCGTCCGGTCGGCCCAAAACGGCTTTGGGAGCTCTCTGGACTCGATCGGACGCTACGTCTCCCGCGTCCGGTCGTTTTCTAACAGCGTGTCCGATCACGTAGTATTACTATGCATGGCTAAACAATTTGAAAAGGGACACGTGGCAGTCTAGCTACGACCGGATGCAGCGACCGGACGCGTCCGGTCACCCACCGGACGTGTCCGGTGCACACGACCTGCACGTCCGGTCGTCCCATAGTCAGCTCAATTGTTGAGCCAACGGCTTTATTGTTTGGGGGTGTCTATAAATATCGTTTGGCCGCCTCAAGCCCAATCTCTTGGCCATTTGCATTGACATAGCAACCTTGTGGGCTTAGCCAAAGCCCTCCCACTCATCTCCATCATTGATTCAACATCTTTGTGAGATTGGGAGAGAATCCAAGTGCATTGCTTGAGTGATTGCATCTAGAGGCACTTGGTGTTCGTATTTCATGGCCAGATTTGCTTGTTACTCTTGGTGGTTGCCGCCACCTAGATGGCTTGGAGCAGCGGAGGAGTGGCACGAGTTGGTGATTGTTCGTGGCCATCTCCCGGTGATTGTGAGGGGTCTTGTGCCTTGCCCAGCGAAGCGCCGAAAGGTAACTTTAGTGGATTGCTCGTGTCATTGAGTTACCTCACTTGTGGGTAGGTTCTTGCGGTGTCCAGTTGTGTGGACGAGGTTCGTGCAACACCTCTTAGCCGCCGAACCACCAAGTGTTGGTTGACACAATGAGAACGTAGCGTGTTGGCAAGCACGTGAACCTCGGGAGAAAATTAGTTATCTCTTGCCCTTTTGTATTCTCCCGGTGATTGAGTTAGTATTCATCTTGTGAATGGTTCACTCTTCTACACGGCGGTATAATCATCTTACTTACTCATTTACATACCCGCAAACTAGTTGTAGTAAGCTCTTTTGTGTAGCTAGAATTGAGAGCTTGCTTTGTAATTTAAGTTCATCTAGTGGAGCTCTTTAGTGTAGCAAATGTGAGAGCTCTTAGTGAGTAGTGACTTAGTAAATTGTGTGTCTAGTGATCATAGAAACTAGAATTGTTGGAGAGGTGGCTTGCAACCCTTGTAAAGCTAGAGTAAGTTTGTTTTTCGCTATTTGTCATACTAATCAAATTGCTCTAGTTGGTTTGTAGATTTTTAAATGGGCTATTCACCCCCCCCTCTAGCTATATTAGGACCTTTCACTAACCCCAGCCTCCTTCCCCGCCGCCGGCTGCCTCGCCGTCGACTGCACTGCCCCGTACCTTGTCGACGAGCACCTCTAGCTCCTCCTCAACCATGTCCTCCTCATCGTGCTCACCCCCACCGTCAACCACCGCCTCACCGTGGGCGCTAGGGTTTTGTCGAGACTCGGCCGAACCCTAGCTTTTCATGGTGGTCGCTTTCCCCCCCTCGGCCACAGCGAGCTCCGGCAGCAGCAACCTGCCTCTGGCCATGGAGCTCCTGTCCCTCCCTGGCCCGGCCGCCGCCGCCGCCGTCAGGGCCCCTAAGCCGTTGACCTCCTTCCCCACCGCCTAGGCGGCCTACCTCCACCCGCCGGGCCCTTCTGTACCCGCCGAAGTTGGGAAGGAGAGGGGGAGGAGCTCGCCGGTAGGGGTGTCGGGGAAGGAGGAGGAGGCCTACCTCGCCAATGCCGAAGAAGACGGCTCGCCAAAACCCTAGCCGTGCCGTCGTCTTCTTCAACTCCGGTGGGTCGCGGGCGCGGGCATGGTCTTCTTCCCGTCTCTGGTGGAGCGCAGAAGCAGGAGGGAGAGGGAGAGTGAGGGAGGGAGAGGGGTCGCACCGTCGCGCTTGAGGAGAGGAGGCGGAGGAACACTAAGAGAAATATATTATTTATTTCCGTTTAGCAGTTTTAGGACGACGTTACACACTAAGATAAAAGACTGAATAGAAGGAGTTAAACATCTAGTGCACTCCGTTATTTAGCTATAGTAATACGCGGTGCGCCGCTCCCATGTCACATCACCATCCGCTGCCTGCTGGTCCTAGGCCTCCTGGCTCCCGAGTCACCTCAGATCAGGCGCTCCTAGTGCGGCGGTGCTGAGCCGCCGGCGGCTCCCATCGCATAGGAGCCATCGGTGTATTGTCGGCCGGAACCGCTACTGTAACGACGATTCCCCGTTGCCGCAGCCACCTGTAGAAGAGGTACGCCACGACAGCGAGGAGGGCGGTGCCTCCCACACCTAGCCGCTCCCTCGGAGTCAACTAGTGGCATGGTAACTTTTCTACGGCGGGAATCAGGGGGGCATATGCACCCCTCCCCCCAACCCAACACACACAGTGCAAATTTGTTTAGTACCCCTATAAATATAAAAAATTTACGGTAAAAGAACATCAATTCATCCATATTTTATCATAATAATACTGTAATTATTATCAAAATAAAACATTTATATATGCATAGATTATCGAAATCTTTTCCCACGCCCCGCTCCACCCGCAACTCTACCTGCAACGCGCGCCGCCGCCACCCTCACCCGTCACCCTCACCCACCACCGGCCCTTCCCCGGCATGGTGTCCTTCTCCGTCATCCATTCCACGCGCCTCCTACTCTACTACTACTAATCACCACCTCGCCCGGCCTTAACCAGCGTCGCGCTCGCGCCCACCTTAACCAAACGCAGGCCGGCTAAAATTTTAAAAAGCAAGGCTACTGACCTGCCGAGCGCAGCGCAGCTACCCGACCCAACGCTGTTGCTTCAGAGTTCAGCTAGCGAGCGGCAGAGAATATGGAGTCGCCGTCGCCGTTGCCGTCGCCGTCGTCGCTGAGCGCGCTGCGGCACAGGCTGAGGGCCACCGTGTGCTGCTGCTTCGGCCAGGTCGGCCTGGGCGAGCGGATGCGGTGGCGCTGCCGCGCGGGCGTCGGGGAGTTCCGGTACGACCCGCTCAGCTACGCGCTCAACTTCGACGAGGGCGACCTCGACGAGGAAGAGGAGGAGGAGGAACAGGGAGTCCACGCCCGCCGCGGCGACGGCCTGCTCTACCACAGCTTCTCGTCGCGGCTGTCGACGCCGGCGGCGGTCGTCGAGGTCGCGTAGCCGTGTCCGTGTAGCGGTAGCGCCCTGGGATCGATCGAGCTCGCTCGCTCACTCGCTAGCTGCCAAGATGGGACCGGAAGATCCGATGAGGAGGCCATGGATACGTGTGTTTGTTTGCTGCGATTAGTTTGCGTGCAGTCCGGATGCTTTGCGTTCGTCGATCAGTTTTGGCGGTAGTACATGTCTTGCAGAATTCAGACTAGTAGCATATGCGTCAGATCAGATCGATGAAGAATCAGTATATCGTTGTGTTAGTGGTCTGATCCATGTAAAAAAATTTAGCATGCGTGCTTGATTACTGATTGTTATACTATCGGGTTTGGAAGGTTTACTTATTTCGCTGCAAAAAAGTTTGACCACCCTTATTTCAGTGAATTTATTTACTCTCTGAGCTCCAAATTGTAGATCGTTTTAATTTTGTTCTAAGTGCAGATTCTTAACATTTAAGTGAAACTAGTGAAAGTAATTCGACGCTGTAGACAGGTGTATTTTTCTATAAACTTTGTAGTTGGTGTAGATCCAAACGGCCCAGCTAAGTTTAGCTGTTGCAAGTTTCAACACAGCTAAAGCTAGAGTTTAGCTAGAAAAACTTTTAGCTGGCTAAAATTTAGTTTTAAAATTTTAGCTAGCTAAATTTAGTTGGGTGGATCAAACATATCATTAGACTGTCTCCAACGAGCAAGACCTAAATACGACACCTATTTCCGATTTTGGGGTATGTACCGGGAAAGGTAATGCAACCGTAACTCAGACCTCTCCAACGACAGCGACGCAAAAGCAGAGTCCCATCCGCTGCGTCTCGCGAAGAGGAGAGTCGCGTCCGGGCCTGGGCTAGCGGCAGCGCCCAGCCTTCACCGGCCACCGGCGCGGGGCGGCGCTCACCCTTCACCGGCGCGCAGCGCCCCAGACTTCACCGACGCGTGACGGCGCCAGAGCTGCTCCTCCCGGCCAGCGGTGGTGCCCAACCTTCACCGGCGACTTCGGCGGAGGTCCACGTGAACCTCCGGCGAGGCCCCATGGACGGCGCGAGCTCCTTCCCCTCCCCTGTCCCTCCCATGGATGGCGCGAGATGCCCCTGCGCCGGCTGCCCAGATCCGGCGGGTGCGGGGCGAGCACAGCCGAGTGCGCCCCCTGCCCTAGCTCCGGTGGGTACAGCCCCTGCGACGCGACCGACGGCCGCGACGAGGCCATCCCATCCAGCAGCAGGCGCGGCCCCTCCCTCTCCGGTTGTCCCTCTCCTCAGATCCGTGACGGTCGCGCCGACGTTCATCGACAACGCCACCGCCCAGAGCTTCTGGTGGCGCAGACCCGTCCCCTGCGGTGCTCGTGCTAGCCGGCGGAGGTTGCGTGCGCTTGCCGGTGGAGGTCGCGCGCGGAGAAAAGGTGCAACAGACTCCGCTCGGAGATTTGCGTAGCGAGGAGAGAGCGACGCTTTTTTGGGTTTCGTTTGGGCTGGCAGGCAAAATACGTCGCTAGGTTGGGTCAGCCGTTGGAAGCGGTATTCGATAGGAAAAAGCACGGGCAAGACTTATTTTTAGGTTTGAGTAGTCCGTTGGAGTCAGTCTTAGGCTATGATTTTTCTTGTGAGACGCATGCGTGCTGGGTTGGTCCCACAAAACGTACCATTTCGGTCAGGATTAAGGGGGTGTTTGGGACTGCTCCACAAACTCTGCTCCACAAACTCCACCGTGGAGCAGCTCCACAAAAAACCGGAGTTTGTGGAGTACCTTTTTAGGTGCTCTCACAACTCCACCCTTTTTCCTGGAGCAGAGTGCGTGGAGCTGAAACCGTTTGGCTAAAAAACGTGGAGCGGAGCTGAAAAACGTGGAGCGGAGCAGTCCCAAACACGCCCTAATTTTCTAGCTTTGGACTTGATTGGGGATGGGACAGCAAGCTGGCCTTGCTATCGACGCGACGGAGACGGCGGGGAAGGGGAATAAGAAATTAGAAATCTGCGCTCCGGCCGCGTCTTTTTCAGCGAAAACGACGAGCGGGGAAGGGATTAGGATAGTACTGCTACGAGTTATGGTTTGGCTTGCTTGGTGATCTTTCATCCCAGTAGGCCGCGTGGTTTGGACTCCACCTGCTCGGTCGCCGCTTGACCCGGTCCGTGTGCTATAAGGTTGCTTCGGCTGTTTTCTTTGCGCTCACGAGCTTCACTCGCTGCCATTTCGACTTCAAAGACAGTAATCCTTAAGGTATTAAGGACAACCTCAACCAGTGGCCAGCGAGCAAGCGCTACCACAAAACATGTGTCTCCAAGCTTGATCTTCTGGGTGCCACTGCAAAGGAGCCTCAGGGCATATCTATGCGAGCCTGTTCAATTGGTTGGTTCGTTTCGTTGTTGATTCGTGAAAAAGTACTGCTTGACTGGTTCATTTCGTTATTAGTTCGTGAAAAAAATACTGCTGGCTGATTTATATTGGAAAAAAATACTGTTCCAACTAAAAATTTATAATCGTTTACGACAAGCCACAGCTAAACGAACAGGCTGTGAACGACAAAATATGCATCCCAAGGGCGCTCTACAACATCTTCTTAGGAATCCAAGTATCCAACGCAGCAGGCAGAAGTAACTCAAACGACAATCAGCTAAAACATGCATGACATCGAACATACGAGCTATTACATACCCTTCAGGAGGTGAACTCTGAACACGATGATTGCCCACCACTTTTACCACCGGTAATACAGTGAACGGCCAATCTGAATCTTGGTATTCTCCCTAAAATATCATTACAAGGTAAAGAAAATACACAATTACAATACAACATAAATTACTCCCTCCCATTCGCCAGTTATACAACACGTGATTCCCACATCACATTAGCGAATGCCAGAGGTCACTACCAACTCCAGTCCCCACCACGTGGTCAAACTTGGGCATTAGGTGACCACTAGGCCACCCAAGCTGCATATCTTCCCTCTTACCTACGGTGAGGGAGAATGCACTTCGCCATAAAGTATAGTGGACATATCTAGCTTCGTCAAGATTGCTCTGGGCCATCATCACCTGCGACGTTTCCAATATTACATGTTGAAAACAGTGCAAGTACAAAAAAAAAAAGGTGGCAAGCCGCAATCCTGCCTATCAAAGCTTAGGCAACAGCAAAGCAATTTTCATTGTGATACCTTTTCTTCTTAGTCTTTTCACCCGAGGATGTTGGGTTGCTGTGCCAGTTCCGTTTGCGTTGGTTAATGAACCAGTTGTTGATCTGCTTTAGCTGCAATCCAGTTTCCTGCACCAGTCGGGCCTTGTCGTCTTCCTAGATGAGTAAGCAAAGAGTTGCTCGTCAATGAACAGAAGCTGATAGGAAAAGTTAACGAGGGAATGGTATTGACAGTGGTGTCACATACAGTTGGGTATGGCCACTTGGAATGAGCTTGCCACCAAGCTTTCAGTACAGATGCAGTATCTCCAGGAAGTTTACCAGCTCTGCGCTTGCGCATAATCTCTTCCCTGATATCAACAAGCTTTTCTTTGTAACCCTAGAGGTAAGAAATATTTCGTTAGTCAACAATGCACCATAAACGATGATGAGTGAAGCATTTCAAAGAAAGTAACCTGCTTAAGCTCATTCTTCAGCTCCTGCCGTACACGCTCAACTAAGGATCGTTCACCCTCTGTCAGTATTAGGGGGCCAAAGCCCATACCATCTGACCCATCATTTCCATCAAACATGTTGGCTTCACTATCCACCTGGTTATCTTCATCATCAGACATGGTCGCTCCAGTGCCTTCACCAGGAGATGCCCCTGCAGAACCAATCCTAGCATTACTCAGTTTTGCCTGACAATGATGATTTCCATTGAACTGTTCTATTAGCTGCTCTCACAATTTCAGTTCAGGTGTACATGGTGCAAGAATAGAAGGTACAACCATCTTAGTTGACATTGCATAAAACCCTTCTGTAAGTTGCACATCTCAATCCAACCAAACACCAGGTCAAGTTGTCTAAACCTCGGTATAAAACTAAAAGTAGGAATGTAGGATAGGAAATTTAGGTTTATCGTGCAACCACCTCTCCCTGTTCAGCAATCCTCGTTTCTATGAATGCTTATCATGGGCAACCATCTGTGATCAGTGATAGACTAAGCTCTTGCCATGGCCTCACACGTCCTTGAGATTCTAATAGCAACTTGCATCGAATAAAATTAACAATAGCGAATGCTATATGTGATAATCAATAATTTATGGCAGCTCGTATGCTAGCCTTTATGTTCTGAGTGTAGCCTTAGGAGCTTAGGTATTCAGTATTCACTATAGAAGGTACTGTGCATATTTTAAACAAATATTCTTCAGAGTTGGCTAAGAAATTGTTGAAACGGCATGCAATTGGAAGGCATGAAATAAGAGCCATCACATACTCATACTTTTGCAAAAAAAAAATTCTTTTCACTGTTTCCTTTTTAGCTAATGTTGATGTTTCCATTCATTCAATTACTACATAATTGCAATAAATACTGAAAGCACTTTGTCATCTTTTCATCTGATAGCAAGGCTGCAATTATTGAAATGATAAAAGCAAGTGATGTATATCTGAAAGCTTCAGCGACGTTTCTGAATTAACACAAGATTAAAAAAAAAACAATCCACCTGTCAGGCTTTGTAAAGATTGTTCAAGCTCCCAGCAACCCATCACTGCTTCCATTGCATGAACACGTACATGCTGCTGGAGTTGTTCCTTGAATGAGCAAAGGAGCAACACATAGTGTGTCTGTAATAAAAAAAAATGAAACGTATTAAAATCTGAGAACAGGAATGCCCAACGAAAACAGATGATGCAAGATGTTAACTATGTACAGAATCCTAGACAAAGACAACTTCTGCTTCTAGTGAAGCAACAGAGTCATTGTGAAACACATAGTGAGGTAGAAGCATCAGTGCATAGGCTTATTTAATCCAGTCAATGGCATGACAATAGAACAAAAATTAGACGAAATTAAATCAGTACAAATGGTACAACAGCAAACACCGGTTGCAGCATGTGACCTGCCATCACATAATAGCCAGTCCACATCGTCGACATGAAAGATGAAAAGGGAAATTTGAAGCAGCCATATGAAAAGGGCAATTGCCCTCTATTAATTGAAACAAATAGAAGGAAGGGTTACAGTGATCTGATGCAATTCTTGAAACTGACTGAGCCATGAGGAATTTGGTCAACTACCATAATCCAAGTCAGTCAACTAACCACAAAAAGGCTCCACCCTGAGACCATGACCTTATCCCCATCCTACTTCGCAAGTACTATCACAGCTTGACAATTAGCTTGGGATTCCTTCTCTCAATTTTTCCAAATCCATGTAGAAAAAATAGGGAAACCGGGAAACTTATAGCCAAAGCGGAGCCGTAATATGAGAGATTCCGGGTACAGGTCACCCAGTCAACCAATACTTCCTTCAATCCCAAATTACAAATTCCCCACAAAGTAAATCCGCAAGCCTATACCAGTTCAACCAACTGCAGCGCACAGCTGCAAAGCAGGCGGGAGAGGGAGGAAGGAGCCCGTAGGGTGTTCGAGCCGTACCATGAAGAGGTCGAGCTCCTCGCCGCCGGACGGCCCTCCCGCGGCCGCAGCCCCAGCGGCGGCGGCGAGCGGCGGGGGGCGCGCGGCGATCTGCGCGTCGATGCGGGGGAGCTGGTCGACGGGGGTGGCGACGCGGAGGCAGGCGACGTGCGCCTCCAGGAGGCGCTCGTACAGCGGGTGCGCCGCGATGGCTGCCTTCTCCCTCTCCCCGCCGACGCCGGGGGAGGAGAAGCCGCTAGGGTTCGGCGACGACGCGGCGGCGGCCGCAGCCGCTGCCGCGGCGTCCATGGACAGCCCGTGGTCGGGGTAGTGGAACGACATCCCCGCGGCGCGGAGCGGAGCGGACGGAGTCGCCGGCGACCTCGGCGGTTGGGGGTTTTGGTTGGTGGTGGTGGGAGGGACAAGCGGATGGATGGATGGATGGATGATGGCGTGGGTTGGTTTTGGTTGGAAGGCTCCAGGGGCTGGGGTTGGTTTTCTTTCGTCGCCGGCTAAGCTAAGCGCGCAGGTGGGCCCAGGCTCAGGCGCGTCAGCTGTGCAGGGCAGCTGTGTGAGTGTGACCATCATATCCGCTGCGTGGGGACCGACGACACTTGTCAAAGTGGGTGTGCTTATTGCTAACACTTCCGTCGCAAAAAAGGGAGATGCTATAAATAAATTAATTCCAGTTAGGTACGTTTGACTTTGTGTAACCGGTAATCCCTCCGGTTAAAGATGTTTTTTAAAAAACAATAAAAGATTATAAAATTGTGCAAAGTATTTTCCAATACAAATATGTATATTTTTCAAACCAAATAATTTAGAAGTTATTGATACGGGTAGTTGTTAAGGCTTGACCAAATCTTAATTCTAATCGAGTGTTTTTTTTTCTAACCAAAAGGCGTAATTTGATAAAGTGATATAATCATGGTCTATTAATCTGGCTTTCTAACACTTTGATTCACTAGCTTTCAAACTAGTACTGAGGCTCCTTGTTATAATACAAGAGGAAGATAGACAAACAGCCGTATCTGAAAAAACGAGAGCTATCTAGGAATAGTCCTCTTAAATGGGTGCTTAAAATTTAAGCTCCTTTCGATCTATGGGATTTGAACACGGTGGCGAACTTTATGTATAGTCATTTGGAAATGGGTTTTAGCCTTTTAGGGCTCGAGGTGTGTTCTTCAATCGCGAAATTGTGGTGATTTTGTCATACTCATTAGGCCAACTTGTCAGTGATAAAATCACCGCGACTTCAAATATAGAGAAGACTCGACAACATGATGGGCAGTATCCATGCTTGAGAATGAGGAACACATCAAAGAACCAGTAGAAAAATAGAATCAACATGAGAATTGTTTCTCGTGTTATCACCGTTTTATATAGTTGTTTTACTTGGCAATCAAGATTCTTCATAATTGGTGCATCAATACTAAAAGGAATTTTAAGTTTGCTAAGTATCACCATATTTATATTGAAACTTAAGTACTCCCTCCATTGCGAATTATAAGTCACTTTGGCTTTATACATACTAAGTAAACCTTTTCTAATTTTGATCAAAAATATATGTTGACATATAGAATATCAAATATGTGCACTCTCAATACATATTGCATGATGGACTAAATTGAACTAATTTGACGTTGTAGAAATATTTGACTTAGAACAAAGCCAAACTATAATTTATAGGACATAGAGCCAATAAAGCCATAAAAACTGGCTTTCCAAACCCTTTGTTTATTTGAGATAGCAATAAAAACAGTCCATTGCTGTAGTGTGCTAATGCTATAGTACATGGAAAAGCCCGAAACAGTCAAAATCCCACCATAGGGTACTGTAATTTGGAATGCCATAGTACATAGAGAAGCCTGAATCGATTAAAATCTCACCATACGGTACAATAATTTACAATGGGGGAAGTAGTAAATAACTTAAAAGTATGTCGTGCCATCAAAACTGATTCTAATTGTCACATTTTCAAAATCCAAAGAAAATGAAAATTAATTTTACACCCCGTACCGGGGAAAAACGAAAAGGTATACCGGACAAAAGATCATCACCAGCAAAATTCACAATTACAGAATTAGGTGGGAAAAAGATCAACACCAGTACGCTACCACCATTTGGGTGATGACAAACAAAACTTTATGTCACATTGATATTGTTCTAAGTAATTAATGTTATCACTTGTGCACGTGTCCAATTCAGGTGAGTGCCGGAGAAAATGGTACTAACTAGGGCAAATTGCAATCAACCCTCAAAAGGCTAGTATGACAGCGACCAAAGCCTGCTGTATCTGTAGCTAAAGTTGTAAAGGGCCCACGGCCTGGAGAGCACCCATTCCAACCATCTTTGCTCTACAAGTTTACGGCCTGGAGAGCACCTGTCCACCGCACTGTTAAATATAGACTAATTACGAAACTAAATGTATAGATTAAGGCTAATTTACGAGACGAATTTTTTAAACCTAATTAGTCCATGATTTGATAATGTGGTGCTATAATAAACATGTGTTAATGATGGATTAACTAAGCTTAATAAATTCGTCTCGCAGATTACTGATGATTTCTGTAATTTAGTTTTATTATTACTATCCGATCATTCGATGTGACATCTCCGTGTATGTGTTCAAATATCCTATGTGATAGGGCTTAGAGTTTAGAAGGGGACAAACAAAGTTTACCGGTTACCACTAGCCATTTTGTGTAACTCGTGTACAAACCTAGAATCGGAAGGTTGAGTGCACTTGGAACAACTAGAAATTAATTTAGTACCAAATCATATGCTCATATATTGGCGTTGATGAAAATTATCATTTTCCTTCTTTGTCGTTGTCCAGCGTCAGAACCTTTTTACCCAGCTTTGATGTTGGAATCCCACCAGGCCAAACATTTGGTCCCTTGAAGTCCAAAGTTCGGCCTATCCAAACATGTTTTTGCTTTATCGACCAGATTAAGCCCAAAGGCTACAGGCAGTAGCCATTAGCAAACTATTAGTCCTACAAAACTTGGTAGACCGAGCAAAGAAAGGCTCGATACAGTTGCAACTGAAGACTGTAGTAACAAAAGATCCACAAAAGCATACAGAAATAAGTAACAGTTTTCTCATAAATGCCAGATCTTCACAAGTAACATTTCACCTAATTGAACGAAATAACATGAATAAATTCATCTAAATCCACTACAGAGTGGAGATCAGTTTGAGCTGAAATCGTCTTCAGCTCTACCATATGCAAACGCACTAGGCAAAACAATGTCAGGTGAGTTAAAGTTAGACTTCCCTTTAGCTACATATGTGGCTTATCACTTACGACTATAGTGGTAGTAAAACTCTGTGATCTAGTAACAAATTATCAAATACGTGTCATTCTCAAATGGATGACGTGGTGGTGCCGCCACCTAGATTGCTACCCTGCTTCCTCTATGTACACTTGTTATTCGGTTAACAAAGTTGCAGCAATCTGGGGTGATCAATGAAGTGTTGAAACATCGGCAGAGTCCTCTGGGGGAAGGTTGAGATCTGGTAGCACGAAGCTGTCTCGTGCGGACTGCGTAACTGACTGCTGATCGAGCTGTTCCTTTCCTTTCTGCTCCTTTGAAGTGATTTCATTCTGAGAGTTCGATTGCCCTAACCTTGTCTGCACAATGAAAACAACATTATATTAGATGTCCCTATTGTTCCCAATTTGATTTATGTAAATACAAACTAAACATTTAAAAGCAAGGGTATCACAGCCAAGCATTGAATTTTGGTTGATCACTCATGAAAAGCATCGAACCTTTTCAGAAGCATTTTCAATTAATTTTTTTGGATCGATTTTATCTTCAGATGGAACATGTGGAACTGGAAATGGGTGAAGCAAGATGTGGCCAAACCTATTAGGCTATTAGAAACCTGATGAAGCTGCAATGGCTCATGTATTTGGAATGGGTATGATGACGATCCACCCAGCACAAAACGAAGAACTGAGTAAAATAGATTATCCATGGACTCCCCAAAATCAACATGTACTGAATAGGAATTAATGGGCATGAAACACGCCTTAGACAGATCCAGAATGTTGGAGCCAACACTATCTCAAGGGAGGAAAAAAAGTGGCCCAGGTGGTTGCAACTACTTTTCAACTGAACCAGATAGGATTAGGTGAGCAGGATATTTTATCTGTAGTAACAGAAATTTATAAACATTCACTCCATATTGATAGATTGTTGCATCTATAGACATCATTCAAGAAGATGAAGGCCCAAGTTTACCATTCTTGAAATCAAGGGTTGTGAAGATAATACTCAGGAATGTTCTTTTTGAAAAGATGGCTTAAACACGGAGATCCCTTATAAGCATCTAGGAAGCTGCCAAACCAGAACCCTAGGAAAAGGATTGCTTAATATGTCCATTTTAAAACATTGTCTTAAGTGTTTATTTAATGCTAACTGAATTGTGCATTTTTCCTGTGTGCATATGCACAATGTTACAAACTTTCAAGCAACAAACAAAAACAACTGACTCAAATATTGCATGAAACCATGAAGTTCAGCTGACACTGAGAGAATTCCAGCTGACTTGGAGATGGTTTCCAGGTAAGCTTCCAGGTTAAATTGAAAATAGCAAACCTCGGAACATGTCTAAAGTTACAATCACTCCTCAATTAGGATACACATATGCAGGCGTCTTACTCTGACTCCAGATAAGAGTGAGACCCCGCATATCAATCAGCCTAATTATTGGTCTGAGATGTTTAGTAACAAACTACACATTTAAGGAATACAGGTTATTCAGAAATTGACACCTTGCCACGATGGTCCTAATCCTTCACTTAACGACTGAATAATATGTTGTGAGTGTCAATTCATCTAACAAGAAACATATATTGAGTTTTTCAAGGTGCAAATTTTCATGAAGAAAGTTGAAAACACAAATCATGATAAGCATACTGCTATCTGACTCTGAGACAGAGTTTAGGCTAGGAGTTCTGTTTTGTGCTTTCTGTATTTCTTCCTTCCTTAACCAAACTCATGTATTTCCGTTTATCTTTAAGTGGAAATGGGGGATGGCCTTCGCGTGGAAAATTTTTGCTGCCCACTGATAGTTATCCATGTTCATGATTATTTCTCTCTCGAACATGCTAAAGCTACGTACCATTATATTAAGAATACAATCCATATTCATGATTCAAGATTTACATAATACACAACGATATCTAAGAGTAGATTTGCACAGAACATAAAATAGTACTCTACATATTTGGTCTCTTGGTATATGCCCTGTTGGCTTGGCTGATGAGCCATGGCTGAAAATACTGTTGGCTGATTTGTTGTTAGAGAAAAATATTGTTCGTTGACTGAAAAAGTACTGCTTATAAGTCAAGCGAACAGGGTGATAAGATGCAGGTTCAGGGCACACACACGTCTCACGGGTGTTTCTAAGCTTGTAGCCTTTGTAAATAGGATGCAGGCCATAAGTACCCTAAGGTTCAGGCACACACACGTTCACTGGGTGTTTTTAAGCTGGTTTTAGCCTTTGTGATGGTTTGTTGTGGACGAAAAGGCCATGCAGTTGAATAAACTAGTTGAAACCAACAAGCGAACATGGTGAGCAGTTACGAACAATCCCCTTCACATTCAACTCAGATCCAAATATTTAATTAATATTTTTTCTACAAAAAAACATGAGAAAGCCACATTTAATATAGCCCATCATCTATCCTACGTCCCTACCCATCAGCCAGTGACAGATGAGTGGGAGAAAACAATGCTGGCCACAACCTTCCTGTTCGCTTGCTCGTATACGATCGTGGATTATAAGCTGGAACAGTATTTTTCTCTCACACTAAACCAGCCAAGCAGTAAATAATCCACGATCGTTTACGACGAAACGAACAGACTGCTTGTATACCGTTTGGAATCTTTCTTGCGTGTGGATAGCTTACAAACTAAAGAACCTAAAGATTATCGCAGGAGTATGTGGACCGCTACCTTTGGCGGCTTAAAAAACTCTTATAGTAGCAATATAAAATATATCTGACTTATGCTTTAAGCCAAAACAAGACAGCCTTTTGATAAGCCATTCCACCAACAGATACCATATGGTGGCCCACATACCAATTCAGGACACAAACGAATAAGAGAAACAGATTAATACAGTCGATGTTACCTCAAGCTTGTCATTTTCTTTTGACAGCGCCTTGCAAGCTCTCTGTAAATCCCGCATCTCCTGCACACATAGCCAAACAAGAACAGAATCCAGTCAACAGAACCGCCATCGAAATACTCTCAAAGTACTTGGTGAAGAACGATGTATAACCTCGCGGAGGCTCTCATTCTCCACAGCGAGAGACCGTACCAGCTGCTGGATCTCCGGCAGCCTCTGCAAGATCCAAACGACAAACCAAATTAAGCCACAAGGACAAGAAGGCACAAGGACATGCTCCTATAGCACTGAAATTTTTGGCTTTTTTAGGTCACAGGACCATCCTGATGATAATGAGGTAGATCTTTTTGGCAGTACGCCTTTTTGTGGCTTTGTCCTTAAGATTCCACTTTGTGCTCACCCTCCTCCCCCAGTCCCCCCTCACTCTTTCAAACGCAGACAGATATATAGCAGCTGCTGCTGCTTTATTCTAAAACTAGTGCAGGCTTAGTTCAACTACCACTAAACAAGGCCCTTTTCCCTGTGAATGGGTGGCACTCCGACCTGGTCAGACTTCCTTTCCCTTAAGACCAGTAAAGCGCGTGGGAGGACTCTAATGCCAAACACAGCTTCAGAACAGTTTACGAGTCCCCCTCGCAACAGCCCATCATCAGTCATGCTGAATCATATGCAAGTTGACGTGTTCCAGTGCATCCCTTGTGACTGAGAGATAGCAAGGGGCTCACCAATTTCTTCCGTGGTCGCTGGCCGCTGGGGCGTGGAAGCGGGGTCGGAAAGGTAATAAGCTGCGGCCGTTCGATGGCGCCCACCTGCAGTGAGAGGAAGGAAGCACCCATGAGTCCGAGACCAATCAATGAAGCACACAACAAATCCAACGAAAGACACACACACACACACTGGAATACTCGATGCTGGCATGAACAAGGGAGTGGGAGCCCACCACCTCCCACAACAGCTGTCCAACGAGATCACGGATTCAGAATCACGCATCAGCAGCTATCGCAGAAAACAACAGAGAACACAAGTGCAAGCACAGAGCAGCGACACTGATGATACCAGAAAAGAAAACGAGACACGACATCGGCATGCTTAGGGAATGGCTCCCGATCCCCCGGCGGCCCCCTTCCCTCCCCTCCTAACCCCCAGCTAGAATGAATATCCCCATCCACCCACCAATTGGGGGAACCACATGATGAGACACGCACGACAGACCCGTCCATTATTGTACTTCTTCCTCAATCCTCCATCCAGCGAGGGAAAACCCAAACGATTTCATCCATGAATGACCCATTTTTAGTTAGGCAAAGAAACACATCCGCCAAACTAACCATCCGCCGCAGCTGAACCCCCGCCACGTCCAGCGCGGTCCAGTCCTGCCCAGTCCCTTCGTTCAAAGGAGAAGGGGCCCACTCTCCAGCCAACAGGACCATTCGACAGGTGGGACCAGGTGTCCACGGCTCCACGCCACGCAAAAGAAGCCGAATCCGCTGCCGCGCCGTACGCCCGCGCCTCGCCGCGGCCATAGCCACCGACGCCGACACACACGGCGGCGCCAGGCAGCTCCGGCTCGTCGCGCTCGCGGCCGGTGGGCGGCGCCCCACGTCACGTGTCGCGCGCGCCGTCTCCACCCACCCCGTCGCGCCGCGTTTTAACTCCCGCATTTGACTCCGTCTCCACTCTCCTCCGCCCGACGGCCCGAGTAGGGAGGGGGTCCCACAGGCTCCACGCTCCCACCACACGAGCAATTGCGCCGGGGGATAAAAGGACGAACGGCTGAAAATGACCGGACTGCCCCCGGGAAAACAAGCGCTCCGTGGGGGACCTCTTCTGCCAAGGCCAGGGGCAGCTCTGGCAACCTGGCGGCACGGAAGCCATGGAAGGCCCAGCTCCGGCCGCACCCACCGGCTTCCACGACTTGCCCTAATTACCCCTCATCCGAGTAAGAGTCAACCACCGGCGCATAATGAATTAAAGAAAACACACGCACAGCCACCATGAAAAAAACGGAAAAACTCTTTTTTTTTTCTTTGTAAGTATCGAATATCCAACGCAGAATTTGGAAATTTCAAAGGTAAACAGAGGCAGGAATGAGAATGCGGATCTGTGAAGCGAAACGTGAGCCGGAACTTGACGTCCGAATCAAGCAAACGAAGAATTCAAACAAATCGAGAGACGAGGTGAGCGTTTGTGGTCGTTAGGAAGTGTGGATTTGAGGTGGTGTTGGAGTGACGAAGGGAAAGGATTTTTGCTGACCACTACGGGCAGTTTCGTCACGCTAACCAAAAAAGATAAAAGGGCAAAAGAAAACTCGGAAAGACAACAGGTGACAGGAGAGAGAGAGAGAGGAGGGTACCGGTGGTGGCCTGGTGGGGGAGGGAGAAGAACCCAAAGCAGCACGGCGGCGGCGACAGTTCAGAGAAGAGAAACAGAGAGAGAGAGGTGAGCGTCAGCCTGTGGAACCACGAACCTTGGTCGCCGGTACGGGTCGGTGGGCCAGGGAGCAGAAGCCGCCACCGCCGTCCTCGCCGCCGCTGGTGGACGCGGCGGAGCCGGAGCCAGAGCCGCCGCTGTAGTCGAGCGGCGACGCCGGGCTGGCCCTGCCCCACCTGGCCTTGCCCCCCGAGGAGCCCGCGGACGGCGAGCGGCGGCGCGAGCGCTTCCCCCGCGCCACCGCCGGCCAGATCAGCTCCCCCTCCCGCGCCGCCGGCTCCGGCTTGCGCCACGGCGGCGTCCACCCGGCGAGGTCGGCCCCGCGCATCGAGCAGATGATGCCGGCCGCTGCGGCCACGAGCTCGTCCGCTTCCGCGTCGGCTGCCATGGTGGCTGGCTTCCCCCCCAGCTCAGCTCAGCTCGCGGACCGAAGAAACCAGGACGTCGGCTGGCAAGGTGCCAAGGTGTGAGAGGCGGAAGTGGAGATGTGTGGGTGGGGGAGGGAGGGAGAGGAGAAGGGAAGGGGAGTGGAAGGAAAGGAACGGGATGTGGGGGGGCGTGGAGGTGGGAGGCGAACCAAAGCCGCGGCGTCGTGGCCGGGGAGGGCCTTTTAAATGGCGGAAGAAAACCGCGGATTAAAAAAAACCTGACCCACACCCACACGACACTCACACACCCCTCTCCCGCTCCACCTACGAGAGCTACGGCTCGCTCTCCCCTGCATGGGCCCGCGGATTAAACCCACATGCTCTCTGTCGAGAGGGACCCATCCGGCCATGGCCCGCAGGTCATAAGGAGCGCGGCTGCCCGCGAGTGGCCCCGCGTCCCCCGTTGGCCTGCCGCGATCCGACCAGGCGGAGCCTTTCCGCGCCGTCCCGCAGCGTGGCCGCGCGGAAATGACCCTGCCGCCCCCTTGGCGGGGCCCGGGCGTCAGTGGGCGGAGCGCCGGGGCGGCTCGAGGCTTCGGACGCAAGCTAGTAGTATGACCGCGGGCGGGACGGAATTGGAGGGACAGCGTGGCAGTAGCGGTGGACGGTATAGTATTTTTGCCGAACACTCCCCTCAGCCAGCGACTGTAGCTGCGCCTCGGCCGTCGGGCCGCGGCGGAGGTGGGAGGAGGTGCATGTGCCGGTGGACTCGTGGTTGCTACAGCGTGCTGCGTGCGTGCGTTCCGAGGCGCGCACGCAACGCAGACGCCGGCGAGGCCGCTGGCGGCACCCGCAGCGCCCCCGCAGGTTGGCAGCTTCGGCGCCTCGAACTCCAGACCCGGCCGGATCCATGAAAGTTCCTGTTCATGTCAGAGGTATTCAGAGTCTTCACCAATTACTGCGGTTCCTTCATGTCGTGTTATAGCACGTGTTATAGCAGTGCTATAGCACAACAGTAGGGTTCTTCAAATGCTACTAGCAGTAGCACACTACTCCATCCCTTAACACTATTCTGACATGGTAGCTGCGTTTTTGGACTTTTCGGTGACAAAATGTGATTCCATGATCATGTATTCGTAGTTATGCTCCTATACAGTACGAGTACATGCTACAAAACGGTGCGAAATCTGCAATTAACGAACCGAACCGTTCGTGTGTGGCACTCCACCAAATGAACGAGGAAGCCGTCAGCATCTGCGTGTTGTAGTTGACAGGGACGGATCGTCCGAGATGGACTCGCGACCTTTCCAATTGGGAGTCCGGCCGGTGACACTGCTTTTTATTCTGATGATGAAAGAGAATCGAGAACGGAAGGCAGCATCCATCTCCCGTCAAGCAAAATTTAGCTGATTCCGTCCATTCTCGACAAGGGAGGAAACGTTACAGTCGACGGATGCCCTAGCTAGTACTTGTACTACAAACGAAGCAACTTATTTGTTGCAAGGTAGGAGTACAATAGGCATAATACTACTCCTAGTATATGAGATGGGGCCTGTAGATCCTGGTCTGACCGCGACCGACGAAAACGGACAAGCAGGCCGTCCATTTTGAGCTTATTCCGACCAGGCCGACCAGCGAGGAATGGGGAAATGGGATCATCATTTTCTTCAAAAAACAACAAATGGGAGAGTAGCCCGTACGTCTGGGGTTCAGTCCAGAGAGATTTTCCAAGCACTGGACACTGTTCTCTTTGGTTGTTTCGCGTGTACTGTACAGTAACTCTCCCCCCATCTGCTAGAGGCATGGCCGTATGGCGCGCGGACGTACGGACCCGGAAATTTCGTCGAGCAGAGCCGCAGCCTGCTGCAGGGGGAGGCGTACGCGACCGGTGAAAAGACGCCAGTCGTCCTGCGAGCCGTCAGACGGCCGGCTGAAAACGAGTGGCCGCCCCCGCGCCGGCTCACATGCCTCCGCCAGGCGCCAGTCGTTCCCGTGGCTCCATGATGTGCTGACTGCTGACTGCGCTGCTGAGCCTGAGCGAATAGCGATCGATGACGATGAGCGCGAAGGCACCCATCATTAGTGTTGGGCTGACTGATTCGTATCGTCGATGGTCGATGATTCGTTTACGTGAGATAAAAGTATGGCTGGCTGATTTAGATGAACAGTATTTATGTGAGGGGGCTGGCCAGCCCAGCCCAGCCTGATAACGGAGGCCTTCAGTCGAGTCTTCAGGACGCCGCCAACGGCCCACGACGTAGTCGCGTGGAGCGCGCACCAGCCGCGCGGAGCGTGCGCGTCCAGACGGAGTCACCGCGCGCAGAGCATGCCCACGATCTGCATGAGCACGACGAATGGCTGAGCGGCCTAGTCTCCTTGTATGTAGGATCTGAGAGACCACGAGCTGTGCTCGCCCCTGTATAAGTCTAAATGTCAGTGTATCAATGCAAAGTGTGGCTTGAGTCTAAACTTCTTTATGGTATCAGTTAGCTTGGTTTGATCCCCTGTAAACCAGCGCTCATCCTCCTCCTCCGCTGCTCGCTACCTCCGCTGCTCGCCATGGACGACAACCCACTGTTCACGTTCGAGCACTCCACCCATGGCTCTCCCTCCTCCTCGTCCGCGTCCTTCACTGCCCCGTTCAATGGCGGAGCGCCTCCCCCACCACCACCCCGTCCCCAACCTCCACCAGCCGCTGCCCTCATGATGGTGAACATCAAGTCCCATGTGCCAGTGGTTCTTATATCGTCCACCCGAACTATCAAGAGTGGCGCTGCTTCCTCGACTCCGTCATCGGGAAGTTCGGTCTTCTTCCTCACATTCAAGCCGCCCCAACCGCTGCGCAACTTGCCGATCCGGAGTGGGCGATGAAGGACCAGTGCCTCGTGAACTGGCTCTTCAACACCATGTCACGCGACGTCATGCGCATCGTCCGCGTTCCCGGAGCCTCCGCCTTCACGATCTGGCGCGCCATCGTCGACCAATTCCGCGACCATCAGCTCCACCGTGCCGTCTACCTGGAGGCCGAATACCGGAGTCTGTACCAGGGCGACCTCAGCATCACCGACTACACCGCCAAACTGAAGGAGCTCGTCGACGCTCTCGGCGACCTCGGCCAGCCGGTCCTCGACCCGTCCCAGGTTCTCAACATGTTGCGCGGCCTCAACGACAAATACCATCACTGCATCGCCACCATCACCTCCCACCAGCCCCCGCACACCTTCCTCACCGCTCGCTCATTCCTCCTGCTGGAGGAGCTCTATGCCACCCAGCACAGCAACAAGGCGGACGCGTGCCGCTCTCCACTGGCGGGTCTTCGTCGAGCACTACACCCCCTCCGTCAGTCCCTGCACCAGCCGGTCACACCTCCAGCACTCCTCCCAGCGGCAACCGCAACCGGCGCCGCGGTCGCGGGCGCGGCAACGGCAACGGGGCACCTGCCCACAACAACGCCGCCGCTGGTGGCGGATCTACTCTAACGCCACGGCATGCCACCTTCCCCAACACACCGTGGCCCGTGGCGTACAACCCCTAGCAGGGCATGGTCCAGGCATGGCCCATGCCCTTCCGACCTCCCGCCGCCGGTGTCCTCGGCCCACGGCCTGGAACGCCTTCACAACAGGCTTTCTTCGCCGGCTGCCCAACAGCCGACGTCTACGGCCAGGCGCCCAACTACGTGACCGCGCCCGCCGAGCCGAATGCCCTGCTCGCCGCCCTCGCCAACGCCGGTGTTCCTCCTGCAGGCACCAGCGGCTTCGATTGGTTCCTGGACACTGGCGCTTCTTCACACATGGCGTCCGGCACCGATAACCTTCATCATCCGCGCCCTCTTTTTCCTTCCTCCTTTGTCACGATGGGCAATGGTGCTCGCATGCCCATCACCCACCTTGCTGACTCCTCCATTTCCACCTCCTCCTCTCCTCTATCCCTCAACAACGTACTCGTCACTCCTTCTTTAGTCAAGAATTTGATATCTGTCCGATCTCTAACCCGTGATAATAATGTTTCGGTTGAATTTGATCCCCATGGTTTCTCCATCAAGGATCTGGACACCCGTCAGGAGAAGCTCCGATGTGATAGACGCGACGACCTCTACCCCCTGCGGCCACCACAACATCATGCTCTTCATGCCTCCTCCGCCTCAGCCGACCTATGGCACCAACGGCTGGGGCATCCAGGGCGTGATCAACTGGCCGCGGCACTGCGTACCTTCGACTTCTCCTTCACCAAGTCCACCGATCATGTCTGCACTGCTTGCCAATTAGGCAAACACGTTCTCCTACCCTTTCCATCATCTCAGTCCATTAGTTTTTTTCCTTTCCAATTAGTGCATTCCGATGTTTGGACAAGTCCTGTACCTAGCATCTCCGGTTACAAATTTTATTTGGTTATCATAGATGATTTCACTCATTATGTTTGGTCCTTCCCGCTACTGAATAACGCTGATGTCGTCCCACTTTTCTGAAATTTTGCTCCTATGTTCACACTCAGTTTCGATTGCCTATTGTCGCTTTGCAAACTGACAACGGCCGCGAATTTGATAACTACACCATGCGCCGATTTCTTCAAGCTCATGGGATGGCCTTTCGCCTCTCCTGCCCATACACATCGACACAGAATGGCAAGGCCGAGCATACCTTGCGCACTCTGAACGACAGCGTGCGTGCCATGCTCCTGCGCGCATCTGCTCCACCGTAGTTTTGGGTCGAGGCTCTAGCCACTGCGACCAATCTGATCAACATCCAGCCGTGCTGCGCCACCGGCACCATGACACCACAACAGCTTCTTTTCGGCACTCCCCCCACCTACGATCACTTGCGCGTCTTTGGCAGCCTGTGCTTCCCTAACCAAACGGCGACCATGGCAAACAAGCTTTGTCCGCGCTCCGTCCCATGTGTTTTCCTCGGATATCCTGCAGATCACAAGGGGTACAGGTGCTACGACATGGAAACGCGACGCGTCATCACTTCACGGCACGTCGTGTTCGACGAGTCTCAGTTCCCCTTTCGTCAAGCATGTC